AGGACCCGAGCTCAGAGGATGAAAGAGACCACCCACGGAGGGTGAGAAGGGAATTTATATATATATATTTCTTTTTAATGTCTTCTTTAACTTTATTGTTAAGTTACTTGAATATTTCAATTATGTTCAAATTTATTTTTAATATGTTTTGCAAATACATATTTAGGGTTGTTCACAACGTATTAGTTAGATTTTTCTCATTTGAAATCCCTGGAGTGGGCTGTGTCTGCTTTTAGCTATTGTATAGAACAGGAGCTCCCAAAGTTGATAGGATCACAAATTGACAGGTTGTTTTCTTGTGCTTCTTGTGTTCAGTTTAAAGAAATAACAAAAATGATTAGAACAATAGCATTCATACCAAAGATCCTACAAATAATTGAAACAACTATTGAGAATTGATATATGTTGAAAATGTTGCCAACCTTTTGTGTTGACTTATTACAGACAGTCAGGCTCACAAGTCTCTTCCACTGTTATTTTTAGGGTAAGAAGGTGAAAAGATGGAGTCATCTGGTAAAAGTTTTAAGATCTGATATTTCAAACTGCCGATTAGGGGAAAACTATGATGCTGCATCTCATTCCATTTTATTTATTCTTATTATGTTGTCTGCGTTCAGTTAAAACAAAAATATATAATGGAAAAGAATACCAATTCTGTAAAGTTAAATAATGTTGTATATTCTCTTATAGACTCTCGTTTTAAATATTTGTCGTTTGTAATATTTTTGATCGTTTTTGTCATTGTCTTTACTTTTAGACACATTAGAGAATGAATTATGGAAATCTACAAAGTTACCTCATCATAAATTGTTGGTATTTGCCACAATAAAACAAATGTCCTTCAAAGGCTTTTATTGTGAAGTCGTGACACATTATCACCGGAAGTGTTTACGTCTTTCCTCCTTCATTTCATGCTAGCTGTTTGATTCAGTTAGCAAGTGCGCCGGGTCTTTTAAATTCTCTCGTGTAGTTTGTTATTAAACGGTTATTGGAAACCGTATAAATTAAAAACTTTTGTTCGGAAGTTTTATTAAAATTCACACAACAAAATGAATATACGAAACGCAAGGGTAAGCACACAGAAATCCCATGTCAGCCACGCTGTTTTACTACCTGTTAAAGCTAAGCTAACTGCTGCTCTTGCAAATATCGGCCGTGTCTTCCCCCCTTTGTGATGAACTTTTGCGGTGGTTGTTTTATCTGTTTCAGCCGGAGGACCTTATGAACATGCAGCACTGTAACCTGTTATGTCTCCCAGAAAACTACCAGATGAAATACTACTTCTATCACGGATTATCCTGGCCTCAGGTGCTGCTTCTGTCTCATTTCGCCTCTGCTACTTTGTCCTAAAAGCCTGACAGAGTTTAATTGTTTCACTCTCTGTCTTCCTTTCATTCAGCTTTCCTATATAGCTGAGGACGAAAATGGTAAAATTGTTGGATATGTGCTGGCAAAAATGTGAGTATCTGACCACAATTATGGATGCATCTCAGTAAATTAGAATATGAAAATGTAAATTCCAGAAAATCCGCTCATAAAATGAAACACTGATTTCAAGGATTTACTTTTGATATTTGTGATGATTGTAACTTGAATGCTAAAATTACAGTGGCAAAGTTGTACATACCTCATCTGGTATGATAAAAAAAAATGATGCAAATGCTAAATATTGGTGGTGTGCAGATCCTGAATCAAACTGAATTTGGCTGTAAAATTCATTCATCAAACTGACTTTTCTTTTTATTAGGGAAGAGGACCCTGATGATGTACCTCATGGACATATTACTTCATTGGTGAGTCTTGAGTAAAGACACCTCGTTCTATTTTGGACCTCACTGATAAATCTGTGTCTGACCTGGTTTACGTCCTGCAGGCAGTGAAGCGATCCCACAGACGTCTCGGTCTGGCCCAGAAGTTGATGGACCAGGCGAGCCGGGCCATGATAGAAAACTTCAACGCTAAATATGTCTCACTTCACGTTCGCAAAAGGTGACTGGGTGGCAGCGAAACTGGTTTTCTTATGCTCAGATGTAGATAAGGTTATTTTTGTTCTTTCACATTGTTAACATTACTGATGTTATTTTGTTGTATTTTTTCCCCACTGCAGCAACCGAGCAGCTCTACACCTGTATTCCAACACCCTCAAGTTTCAGTAAGTTTGCTTATGCCATGTCAAATATTAAGCCTTAGAAAATAACATTTTAAGTGATTATTACTAAGCACACATTTTTCTTTTCAAATTTTTTTTATTGGGCTGAAACAATACTATAACTTTAAATGTTTTCATCAGATATATACAAAAAAAATATCATAACTATCGGAAAGAAAGGCTTTAAAACATCACAGTATAATTACTACTTATTTGTTTCACTTGGTGAATTAAGTTACTGCAATAAATAAGTCCTTCAAGAATATAATTTATTGAATCTGACTTTATATAAGCTAAAGTTTTATCTCATCTCTCTTCAGGATCAGTGAAGTCGAACCAAAATATTACGCAGACGGAGAAGATGCCTACGCCATGAAGAGAGACCTGGCTCACATGGCCGATGAGGTGAATTAGAATCTGTAAATGTCCTTCTTTTTACTACTTTGACATTCCTTTATTTGCTCTTAGTTGAGATACATTTTTTTTTGTGTGTGTGTGTAAATTTTGCTTCTTTTTTTTTTTTTTTTGTCGTTTTCATGTAGCTGAGGAAGCCTGGCGTGCGCGTGTCGAGTCAAGAAGCAACATCTGGCCAGAGCCCATCAGGCTCCGGCGACCAAGAGAGAGAAAGCGAGAGAGACAGTGGAGGAGAGAGCAAAGAGTTGAGTGAAGTCAGCGAGGCAACAGAAAGCACAGACGTTAAAGATTCTTCTTCTGACTCACAATGACGCCGCAGTTCTTGACATGTTTTTTAAAGCACCCATTTTTATCGCAATTTGCAGCTGTTTCTGACTTTGAAGGCTGGCTATCTGACTATCAAAGCTGCATCTCTTTTTTTCTCTCTGCTGTGATGAACAGAGTTGAGTCAATGTGTTATCCAAATTAAACTAAACTTATTGGTCGAAGCATTTTTACTGGATCGATGATTTCTTAAAAGTCCAAAATATCTGTAATTCAAAATGACCAGTGGTCTCTTAATTTGTCGGAGAAAAAAAAACTTACGTAAATTTTACAGTAATTTTCTGTAATATTTGGCATTTTCCCTATTGTTGAAAGAGAAAACTTTTTTTTATTCTACATATACACAATTTAACACAACAAAAAATGGTCAGCAGGTTTAGTGCTCCTTTTTTAATCAGACCATCGATCAGAATAAACTTGACTGTGTAAAAGTAGAGCGGTGTCCAGTTGTGATTTCAACGTAGAAAACAAGCCAATTCACACTCCCTTTTTAAGTTCCCTATTGTGGTATCAAGAATAAATTTGAGCTCTCTGCAAATGTCTGTGCATGCTGTAAACCATTCATGCTTTGCAACTGCAGGTGGTTTTAGTATGAGTTAGAGAACTGCACTCTGAAACTAGTTACCTCTACTGAAAAGGTGTACAAACTAAAACAGATGCAATATATCAAAGTATGTTTAAAAAGTATTTAATTTTGATACTCAAGAGGTTGTGTTATGCTGTGGTTTTGTTTTGCTTATTAAGAGATTGAGCATATCGGCAATAAATTTCAAATACAAAGTTGATTTTAGAATATCATATTTTTATTGCCGGATGTACGCAATTAAAAACCGATCCTAAGCCGGAGCAAAGGGTCAAACTTGGAGTCCTGGAGAAATAAAAAAAAAACAAGACGCATGAGCAGTGACTCGGATTGAAGGTTTGACACATTTAAGACCCGCAGCAGAGTGGCGCTTGAGGACCAGCGATGGACACTCTTCCTTCTTCTCGTCAACTTTTCTTTCCCTTGCCGAGAAAAAGCATCTCCACAACCTCATACTGTTTGTTATAAGTCTGTTGGACTAGGCTGGGTCAAAAAGAAAATTTTAGCAAGGCATTGTATTTTGCATGTTTCTGGAGCGTTAGAAGCTGGAGTACCTTGAGTACACGCTGACAGAGGAGCAAGAAGCACATGCAAATTATTCAGAAAAAGGTCTGCAGAGCGGTGATTTCACCGGGACACTGTCTTTGAGTGAGGCGACATCTGAGAGCAGGAACAGCATAGGTTAAGAAAAATATGTGTGAGTGAATTCATTTTGGTGACTCCTAGTGGTAGCATTATGGAAAAAAAAAAATCACTGTCTCCTCAACAAATCCCACAAAGATTAATTGGATAGCTGTCAAGTTTGACAATAGAAAAATGTAATCTAAATAGATGCAACTCTTTCTAAACACAGATAGGCATTAATTCTACAACCAAAGTCCGTTTTAGGTCACTGCAGGGCTAAAAACTGCAGCAACGTGAGTGTTTGTAAGTTTAAAAAAAAGACTACTCATGAAATCACAAATAGAGATGAGAACTTAACATCTTTTGTCACACTGACCAGAAAGTGTCTGTGCAGGGGAATTTTAATGTGCTTGTGCAACACCATCCAACTGTGAATGTTTGAGGAAGGAAATGGCCAAAAGAGAGGTACGTGGCAGAGACATGCGACTCGTGCAGTGACCTTTCACAAAAGTAGCTGTTTTACAGAAATCATAAAATCTTCAACTTTAAATAAATATATGAAAATTTGACCAATCCCTCTCTTAAAAACTGGAAGTGATCCCGAGTTCTATGCATAACTTGTGTTATACATAGAATGTTTTCTTGGCTAAAAAAAAAAAAAAACAGGCAGAAAGAAACACAATTTCTCAAAAGGGATGCATCTGTGCAAGAGAAATGCTATGCTAGCACATTTAGCTCAAGCTAGGATTAAACAGCCAAAGAGACAGCAGTTGCTTTTTTTTTTTTTGCATGCAAGAACCATGTTTTCGTTCACTCCAGATTTCACTTACGTGTCCTTTATCAGTACAGACCATCTGCTAGTGTCAACACATCAGTGCTCTAACTTGAGTGTGTTGCTTGCAGGATGTCATGACAAAAAAAAACTGAGAGAACAACCTGACCAGGGACGTGGAAGTCCTGGAAGACAGAACAAAAACACTTCTCAATCCTTGCAAAAATATGTGCGGACCTTAACAATGCTGGTCAGAACTGGAGCAGACATTGCAAAGTCCATCTGTCTTCTGCCAATATTTTAGTGGCTCAAATTACACCTGTTTGACTCTGTGGTGGATTTAATTTAAACTGTTATATAAGGTGCTGTCTTCAGTCTACTGCACTCGTCTGACTTTCTCTTTACCGGACCAATCATCACTTTATGGGCTTCAAACCTCAGTGAGAGATTGCACTCTGACTAGCTGTTATGGTTTAACACCATCACTCTGGACTTCTGTTTCTTTTTTTCTCCATTTATAGCTTTTCTCTATTTCTGTCATGGAAATGAATATATCTGACATAACGTACATGTTTGAATATAATTAAAAGGAGAAGTTGATCTATGGTTTCTTCATCTGATGTCTTGTGAGAAAAAAAAAAAGACTAAATATTTTAACCCTTGTACTCCTTTTTTTTTTCCTTTGCTCTTTTTTTCTTATTTATTTATTTTGATTTGCTCCCCCACACCCCTTCTTACCTGAACCCCAAACCTGACTGCATCCAGTCACTGACACCACACCTCTGAGGAGGGACTTAATCAATGGCAGCAGCTGGAGTGTGATTGGAGCCTGAAGCGTTCAAGAAGGCAACATGAGAAAGAAAGAGAAGAAGGGCTTGGCTCAAAAAGGTTGTCGTTTCTTTGCTTGTCGCACTTGCACAATCACACGAGGATGCTTCAAGCTGCATGTGTGAGCGAGATGAAGGCTGGGTGAGAAAGAGAGCGCTGCACAACAGCAAGTGTGTGTCTGTGAGAAAGGGAGAGAACGAGTCACACAGATACAAGTTCTGCTCCACCCACAAGCATCCAAGTCCAAATTGCGGGGGAGGTGAAACAACCGTTCAGAGTTTACTGTGCAGCTAAGTGGCATTATTTAGTCGTTTGAGTAAGTAGAAGGTGCTTGTCAACACATCTCTTACAGGTAATGAATCTTGTTTTCTTCCTAGTTCTATTTGACCTTTCATTACTCTTGTTTTGATCAAATTAAAACAGACTACGCTCAATTCTCATGAGAAGTGCATGGCCTATCTATAGTTTTTATTGGCAGCAAACACAGCCCTCGGGGCTGTTATCACTTTATAACCCTGTCAGATTTCATGTTGTTACCTGTGAGACTTCAGTGGCAAAATGGGACACACAGCTATTTTAACAAGCTCTAAGCTATACTTGCTGTAAGATTGAAACTACATTGGTGGTGGTGACGACGACAGCACAAAGTTGTGCTGTAAAGAATGAACTTCTAAATGTGGAAAGGGTGACACATGTTGTAAAATAATAAAACGAGGCATTCCTCCTGTGGACGGGTGTGACTGTGCCTTTGTCACCCTGGCAGGTCAACTGGTAATTGTCGATGGCGTGGTGGGGGGGAAGAGAGCCCAGGCTTTAGCTAAAAGAGAGCTGATGAGCGTTTGATTTTAAAAATGGCCAAGAAAAGGGGAAGTTTAATAGTGCAGAGAGAAATGTGGTGCTGATTGTGTATAAAGTTTTTATGACCCAGCAAGAAAAAGCCTTGTTCTTCCTCTTTCTGCTGTGCACTTTGTTACACTAATGAAACAAAGAAAGAAAAAAATAAAGTGCTGGTTTGTAGGTTGATGTTAAAATACCACATGCTTAAAGAAATATTTTATTTTTATTTATTTGTCACTTCCTTATGAAAGCAGGCCAAAAAGTAACGCTTTTGGGTCTTCCTTTTTTATTTCTGGACTTTAATGTCCCAGTCCAACATGTCTTGCCAAACCTTATGATACAAACTCCCTGTGATGATTCAGTTGTTCAAGTAAAGAGTCAAACCTTGTGGGATTTGCAGTGGCTGCTCGACCACCTGTCGTCTTTGAAGCACACATCCCCTCAGAGTTTTCTGCCTCACGGTTCAGACTATTTTTAGGATAAAGCTAAGATGCTGCCGGAGCTATTTTTTGCACCTTCTGCAAAAGCCCCGCCGTGCAAACGGGTCTGGTGTGGTGCAGGGCAACACTTGTTGTGCCCAACTCCAACTGCTGCTTTTCAGCAGTTTGCCCGCTCAGAAAAGCATGGTGGAGGGCCTCCAGTTTGAGGGAGATGTGTTACAGTAAGATGCACAAGCTGCCTTGACTTCTCTTCTCACTTTAAGCGGCATGAAGAAGCTGGTTTTTGGTCGCTGGAAATACTGGAGGCGTGAAATCTTCTGGAAAAAAAAAGTGTGATTGGTGCAGCAACAGGGCATAGCTTTTGGCTGCTGCAGCATGTCCAGCTAAATGCTAAGAGCTGTTTGTTGTTGCCATTTTGAAGGGTTGATTTCTTTTTCTTTTTTTTTCTTTACTTGACAGAATTCCACCCTGTTGGAGGAGCGATGACTTCTGCAAAGCTTCGAAAGGAGAGGGTGGGAGTGCTGGACTATGACACGCAAATAAAAGGTAAAAGTACTTATCTAAGTAATTTTCACACCTATCACACCTCTTCCTGAATGTGACCAGCATTTCGTGGGGAAACCCTGCTGCAACACTTTCAGAATGAGTCTCTCGTTCGCTTGTTTGTTTGTGAGCCTTTGCGGTTATTGTGCTCGTCTCTCCTTCCCCATGAACATTTCCAGAGATGCGCTGCCAGCTCCTGGACCAGCTGAAGGTGCTGGACGTGCAGCTGGAGCAGAAGACCCAGCAGCTGCAGGACATGACGGACTACCTGCGGCGACGGGGCGAGATTGAAAACGAATATTCCCGCTCCCTGGAAAAGCTAGCGGAAAGGTTCGCCTTGAGGGTTAAAAGGTAAACGACCTGGCAAAAGCAGAGAGAGAGAGAGAGAGAGGGAGCGCCACGCTGACCCCAACTCGTTTTCCCTCTCAGGAAGGAGCCGAGCTCTCACTCCGTCTCCCAGGTGTGGCTGGCTCTGCTGTCTCAAACCCGCCAGGAAAGTAGGGACCACAGCGGACTGAGTGAAAGTTGCAGCAACATCCTCATAACGCCAGTCATGCACTGTCTGGATTACACACAGCGCCTGGCTAAGAAGGTACTGTTAGAAGCGGCCCATTTCAGAACAATAGAACTTGTTGTTGTTCGTTTGCTGGCTTACAACTAATGAATAATACCCCCCACAAAAAAAAAAAAAAAAAAAAAAATCATCGAATAAAAAACTGACTTTACTTTGCATTTAAGGCCAGTTTGCTGAGCAGTTAAATGAATTGATGGTCATTTGTACTTCTGAGACGGTGAGCAGGTGTTAAT